AGGCTGGTCTCAAACTCCTGGCCTCAAGTGATCCTCTCACCTTGGCTTCCCAAAGTCCTGGGATTACAGGTGTGAGCCACTGCGCCTGGCATCTCCTTGGTCTTTGGATGGCTGGCTTTTTAAAATTGAGATATCTGCTTTTAAATGTTATCTCCTGAGACAGGCCTTCTCCTGACCACTTAATGATTCTAAAGTGGCCACCCATATACTTTCTATCACATCACCTCGTTTTAATTCTTTGCATAGCATTTAACAATATCTAATATTTTTCTGGTTTATTTGCATATTTGTTTATAGTCTTTTCCAATTAGAATATAAATTTTCTGAGAACAGAGATATTATTTGTTTTATTCACTATTGTATTCCTAGCACAATAATGTGCTAGGAGTGTGCCTAGGACAATGCCTGGCACATTATTGAAATTCAGTGAATAATAAAACAGCCTTATATGTCTTATGAGGCCTTTCTTGGCTTCTCTAACACCATCTGTGTCAGTACACTCTCTACGTCACCTCCCATCCACCAACTCATCCCATCTCTTTAGATGTACTTTCTTCCTGCAGGGCCTTTGCATATACTGTTCCCTATGCCTAGAACACCCTTCCTCAAATGCCATGCCACTGCCTAGGTAGCTCCTGTTCATCCTTCAAGTTATAGCTTACATGTAGCTTCACCTCACTAGCCTTCTTGATCGTACAACTCTGTATGCATTGCTATTAATTATTGTATAATTAGTTGTCTGTGTCCTTCACTAGACTGTAACTTCTGTAGGGCAAAAGCCTGTGTTGTACTCACCGTGAATTCCTAGTTGTAGCTGACCAGCAGTGGCTAGAATGATCCTTGAAATTGGGGTAGTAGGAGAGGGGGATGCAGTATCAGGGGCAGCACCTAAGGGCTAGGAAGTATACTTTATGATGTTAGGATGAGGTCTAGACATTTGGCTCCTTCTCCTTATTTCATCATCTTTGGTGACTCCAGTGTTTGTCTGAGATGACCGTTCTAACATACTTGAGGTAAACCATGTAAGATATGTGTCTCTCTCCTAGTCATATTCATGAAACCAGGGTAAGCTTGCTGGGGGACTTGCCCATGAATGGGACATGTGTGCTGAGGATAAAGGTTGAGGATCTGGATAGTCAGATTGTTTACTCCAGGTAGCTGAAGGCAGAATAACTGATAGTTGAGTAGAATCTTAATCAAGGAAGAAAGCAAAAGGCCTGAGGGATAAGGTGAGGCAAGGCTGAAACAGGAAGCTGAATCATTAAGTCAGAAACCTAGAGAATTCGGATAGTGGGTGGAGTGTAAGAAAGAACAGGGCAAGCAGTTCAGGATTAGGGTCAGATATAATCTTGGGGATTACTTAAATCATCTTTTAGCATTCTTCTTTAGTTTGGAACCAGCTTTTGGATTATAGGAAGGATCAGGTAGTTTATATACAACTGTTTGAGTGAGGTTGCATATTATTTTGTGTTTTATGTGCTCTTTACTTTAAAAATAAATCCTCAGAAATCCTACCTTATCTTTTTCCCCCACCTCAATTTCTGCTGCCAAGAGCCTGCCTTCCATTCTTTTTTTTTTTTTTTTAATTTCAGCATATTATGGGGGTACAGATGTTTAGGTTACATATGTTGCCCTTGCCCCCACCCCTTTCCATTCTTTTAAATAGATCAGGTTCAACTTGCTCGTCTTTGAAACAAGTTTTCTATACCAAAGCTTACAGCAGTCCTAGAGCTTCCTTCAGGTAGGGTGAAGGGAGTGAGCACCCCTTCAGGATACCTCCTCCCACTGACTGAGGTGTGGTAGCTGGCCTCAGTAGCCTCAGGAGTTTAGGACTCTGCTCAACCTGAATCTGTGGAATTTCTCTCTAAGTTTTGGGGAGGGACATGAGAGCATAGACTATAAGGTGGGACTCTATCAGTGAATCATAGTAAAAAATAGTGGAAGACTGGCTAGATGTGCATGGATGGCAGGATCCGAGGGTGTATAGGAGTGGGTGTCAAGGTATCTGGCCTGGTCCTTGAATTTATGGCAGGGTTAGGGGACACTGATGTGCCAGGTTGAGTGTCTTGATGAGTAGTGCTAGTCATTAACCCTTAGTGGTGTTCTGTGTGTTTTCCTGTTAGAGCCTGGAGCTCTTCTGCAGGCTGACAGGGAATCATGAGGGTAGAAACAATACTTACCAAGGAGGGGTGTATTCTCTTTTGAAGGGTAGGTGGAATTATTGTGTGCATGGATCAGGCAGTCTATGGCCTAGTTATCTGGACTGTGTGAGGCAAGACCCCTAAACTCCCCTCCTAGGGCTCTGCTGGGAAAACCAACCTAAAAGAGCTGGAGATTACAACCATTGTTAGTGATTTCCCTAAGAGTGCTCCTTATCTTTTGCTTGTTCTCTCTGCTGTTAAAGCCCCATGCTCTGATGTCCTGCCTCCTGTTTTCTGCTTTGAGACCTTCAAATTCCATAATCCTCTCAGAGTTTTCTCTCTCTCTCTCTCTTTTTTTTTTTTTGATTTTTTTTGAGGCTTGAGGCTATGTTGCATCTGCCAGAGTGCAGTGGCTATTCACAGGCATGATCATAGTATGCTGTAGCCGCTAACTCCTGGACTCAAATGATCCTTCTGCCTTAGCTTCCTGAGTAGCTGGGACTACAGGTGCTACCACGCCCAGCTCAGACTTCTCTTTCTGGATTACGCACTCAATGGCCAGCTTGACTCTTTGGCTCTACGTAGTCTCCTAATTATGACATTGCCAGCCAGCTTCAAGTTAAGTTTAACTCCATTAGCTCTGTTCCTAGAGCTATGGTTTTGAAGCTTTAACGCATCAGAATTACCCATGGGGG